GACAACAACTTTCGCACAATGCCAGCGAAATCTAACTGAAACAAATTTTTCTTAACGTGCCTTGATTCATGAAAAAATACTAAGAGTGAGATTACTTACTCAATAACCATAAACATCAACGTTTAGACAGTGATAGACTGTTTGTGAACGGCCTCGAAGATGACTTTTGTGACGAAAGCCTAATCGTAAGAGCAAATTACAAGAGTTATTCCGCGCGTCAGGTCATTATATCTCGAAGCCATGTATCAAAAATTTATTACAAAATAATAGTTTCCAGTAGCATGTGGGTTGGGCTAATATTGCATTTCAACCCTTGCTAGTAACTACCCCCAAGTATGATAACTGTGTGAGGGGCAGTGACAGTAAGGTGCCGAATGTGAGTCAAATTCACGCACTGAATCTTCTTATTAAAACTGCAAGTTCTCTTGAAAAGGAAGCTGCTCCACGATGTTCGGTATAATCAGCCGAACAACGAATTGCAAGACGCTAGTGCTTGTGAAACCAGTGAATATGCTGTCTGATACTTGCGCACCTTACAACTATTCGCCTTGATCTGACTGACAGCTTACTAAAACAACAGCAGGAGGTATAAGAAATGAAAAACTATACAAGAAACGCTTTCTAAACTCAGATATTTTTGCACTTATTTCACGAAGGGTTTTACACCGAAATAGAGCGACTGTAAATGCCTTGCGTGTATTTGTTGTTGGAAAAAATGCTACTTTACCTTTCCAAAAATCTGCACCTGGAGAGTATCGTATAAGAGATACTAATCCATGAGTATGATCATCATTGTGTGTTTGATTCTTTCCTGTTTTCTACATTTATCTTGGCATCTATCAACCTTAGGAACATGTTAAGAATTGTGAAATGCCACCTATGCATTCTGACAAAGAATACCCTAATAACATGGTAGTACCTGAACATTTGAAAAGCATCAGGGTTTTACGTATTTCTATGGGTAGGTGGAAATTTTTCACTGCCACTTGAATTAGTAACTGTTATTATATTTCAATAACTGTATATTTGCACGTTTCCCTCAATGACACCGATTTACTCTTAAAATATGAGAAAAATGTCAATCTAATCAGCACTGAAAATAACGTAGAAAACTGTGGGCTTCCAAGCGCAATAAAAATGACCGCAATTAATGTTTTACAGTGACTTAATTAATTTTCATTTTCCCATCGTATTTTTGCACATGATCTCGATTTTGTGTGATTATGACCTTGAGCCGTGTGCCTAAACAGAACGCATCTGATTTATGATGTCTACTGTATTTCGAGCTAAACAACGCTCTTGCTGTAAAGCACCGGTAGCTGCATCGTAGAAGTAAGTTCCTGTCAGAAAGCAGATCTGCCTCTACCTTGTTGGTCCATCTTGCAGTTTGCATCCTGGTCGATGTCCGCTGTGTTTCCGCACTCAAACGAGGAGTTCATGGGTTAAGCTAAATGTCTCAGGATCAACCGGAGGTTTATCTGAAAGAGCCAACATCGCTTCTTAAATTCTGCATCTACTGAGGTGACCTATGCCCATGTGAAAACAGCGTCACTCCTTACATGGTCCTACCACTAACCTTATTTATGGTTCGAAGCCAACACTGCTGCACGCGACTCGACTGTCGTTCCTGATTCTTCCTTAAAACAAACAACTGCTTCCATGCCTCACAACGAAAATGACCTGGCAGAGGTTAGACGCAGGCCGATATTTTGAAAATGGTTGTCAAATAAACCTAGTACAACTCTTGATTTTTTTTGAGACCACAAAATAATGTTCAATCCTCACTATGATACACACCCTTTGCCTTATGTGCGCCAGAGAGATTTAACATTTATTCTCTTCTTTGCCACACGGCCACTTTTTTCATCATATCTTCACACAGAATATTATTACTTTAAAAAAATGTTGCGTTGCACATTCTATTTTGCTTGCTAACACAGATCGCAACCGACAAAACATAAAAATAGTCTTGGAATAGTAAAAAAGTGCAGGTGTTGGTCGATGACGTAAGCACAGCTCAGAATGACGTAAAACAGGCGTGGGTGGCGGCGACGTTTAAAGATGCTGCCGGTATTGAAACGAGTGTGAGCGACTCGCTTGAAAAAAAACTGTCGAGAAAAATTTCTTTGGTAAATTTGGAACGAGTATTAAGAGGATTACTCACTAAACACAGAAAAAAACCACTCTTAGAGTAGGGTCTATGCTTCTGATCAGAACGCGAAGAAAAGCACAGGTGTTCATTGTATCAAACTACGAACTGCAGCACCAAAACAGGCTATTTGTATTTACATTACTTATTTAATTATTTCCTTTGTGTTTGTGTTATAACACCGTTTTTTAATACCCGTTCCGTTTAACGTTTGCAGTCAGAAAATCTTCATGCTTAAAACACAAATAAGCCATGCTTAACGCTGTTTTGTACTATTTTATTAAATATTAATTAATTATTTAGTGACTAATACAGTCATAAAAAAAGCTTCTATATTCAGCACAGGTTGGCGAGAAATTCACTTGTCCGGGATGTGCTCTATCAAACTTTAATGCAACGAATGCGCTTCGTTACCGCTTTGCGCAGACTTACCAAAACAAACTTTTGAGTTGTGTGCTCAATACTCGTTCGACTTGGCTGCAGATGTTTGAAAATTCCAGTCGAAACTAGATCACATTCTATTTACACATGGAATTTTTTATGTGAATTGTACATCATGAAAATTTTTCTCTGTGAACATTTATACTACGATTAATCATTGGTTGATTTGGACGATGCGATGCCAGAAAATCATACATAACGTAGCTT